GGGTGCAGCCGCAGACTCCTCTCTTTTTCACTTTCCTCGCTATTTTGAGAAGACACCATTTCAAGATCCCCAAACTTGTGATCGCTGCATATGCTTGTTGAATGAAACACAGGTGACATCTGCACAGGGGGAAAAAACACGTGAGATAAAGGAAGTCATTGCTTTAATTATAGGATACTCTTTGTTCTGCCTTTGGAGGCATAAGCTTAACAAAGTCGAACATGTCTGTTTATGACTCACAGGAAAGACTAACATGAGACCCAACGGATCTGATCCCCAAGAAGGAACAAAGTCCACACTGCGATTTCCCAGAGAGGCTGCGCACGGCACCCAGAGCATGGGTCCAGCGGGGGCCAGGAAGGCACCAGTCCTCATGTGCGCACTCATCCTCCCTCAGCTTCCAGACCTGAAGAAGCCCATTTCAAGAAAGTTTCAGCTCTAGGGTACTGAAAGGCTATCTCTTGTCCTCCCTGTCATTTTGGGTGAGAACAGGTCAAGAACAAGATGGGCAGATGTGAAAGAATAGAAGACTAAGCCCCAGAAGACCAGGTCCATTTTTGCAGCTGTCCAACCTCAAGGACAATGAAGCTTCTCTTTTGGCAAGTTCCACCCGCCCCCAAATAACATCATACCCTCCAACCTGGGGGCGTGGGCAGATGACCCCTCTAACTTGTGAGAGGTGGCCTTTCCCTCCCTCTGACATGTGGGCGTATGCCATCAACCTCTGCAACAACAGAGAAGGATGCCCATCACCCCACTAGCCTCTGGTGGGCGTGCCCCATCAATCCCTCTAATTTGTGTGAAGTCCCCTCTGACCTGTGGAACACCCACTTGGACACCCAGTGTATCAGAGATGACACACAGTCTCACTCATCACTAACACATTTTTCTTGTACCCAAGTGGGTCACTGTTGTGCGCACCCCCCTTTGGAGCCCACTGCCCTAGAGGTGGTGAACAGAGGGGTTTTCAGTGCATGGCATCCCACTGCTGCGAAGGACCGCACCATGTCGTCGTCCTGTGAGGTGTCGTAATGCACAGGGCGGTCGGCGTGCACCTGCTTCAGCCTCACGAGCAGGCGCTCTACCAGGTCATCTCTGTCCTTGAGCTCGATGAACTGGAAGGCCATCTTGCTCCGGATGCTGACGATGATGGGGTTGGGCAGCAGACTCGTGTCCTCCATCTTCTCGATGCTCACCACCTGGGGCAAAAAATTATGCACACGGAGGGGAAGCAAGAAGGGAGGGAAGGAGGCATTTAATTACATATGCAGAAAACACTCCAAGCTAGAAGGCAAAACCACATAACTGCAATATGAAACAGGTACTAAGGTTATAAGTACTTAAGGCAGCATATTTACAGCAGTCAAAGGTGGGAGTAACTCAAGTGTTCCTCAATGGATGAATGGATAAACCAAGTGTGCACACAGTGGAGTATTATTCAGCCTTACAAAAGGATAGATATTCTGACACCTGCTACAACATGGACTAACTCTGAGGAATTATGCTAAGTGAATAAAACCAGTCACAAAAGGACACACACTGTATGATTCCACTTCTATGAGGTCCCCAGGTTAGTTACATTCATAGAGACAGGAGATGGAATGGCAGCTGCCAGAGACTGGGAGTGAGGGCGGGATGAGGAGCTATTGTTTAATGGGTACAGGGTTTCGGTTTGGGAAGATGAAAAGGTTCTGGAGATGGCTACACAACAATGTGAATTACTTAATGCCACTGAACTATAACACTTTAAAACGGTAAATGTTAGGTATATATTATCATAATTTAGAAAAGCAAGTACATAAGACAGCTGGGTTTCTTGCTCCACTCGTAAGTCAGAATATTTGTAAAGTGAAGACATCTGCTGGAAAAAAATGACAGGGATATAGGAGATCACATGAAAAAACTGAGCTTTTCCGAAGAGTAGTGCTTAGTCCGATTGTTACAACAGCAAGAACCTGGAGGTGTGGATGTGTCAGAGTCACAGTTCCGTCACAGCAAGGACGCCCTGAAACCAAAGGACTGAGCTCGGCAGGCCTGGGTGTAGACTCGGAATGCACTCCGTTTCCAAGAAGAGAATCACAGGATTTTATACTAGGAAGGGACCCGATCCATATGAAAGGAAGCATTTTTTAAATTTTTAACTGAAGCTCCCAGAGGGTATAAAACCCAAGCAATTTGATGTTTATTTTCCAAAAGGGATGTCTTTGCAAGTCGCCTTTTTTTCTCTTCCCTTTTGTGGTGAAAGGGGAGGATTCGTGCCTAAGAGCTGTCAGAAAAGCTTTAATTGCTAGGCATGTACTTTTTACTAACAGCTGTATTGATAATACAGAGGTTAGCGCGCCCTATTCTCACCAATCACTTCTATACAAATTTCAGGTTGCCATAGCAACAATAGAAAACACAACGGCCAAATGGGTAATGGTCAAATTCAGGCAATGCTTCCCTCCAGACGCCCATCCTTAGCTGGCCAAGCCTCGCTGTGGACACCCCCGCCAGTGCCCCATCTCCCAGGGAAGGAGGGTGCCTCCTACCTCTCTGAGCGGGAGGATGACGTTGCAGCAGCCGTCTTCTTTGCTGGCAAAGCAGATGTAACTGTCTGAGGCGAACATCTGCCCGACGGTGTGACAGCGACTGAAGGGCGTCCACAGGGAACAGTCCACGACCGCGTGTAGCTTCTCCTGCCTCGGCAACCTGAAGAATGCCCGGAAGAACTCATTCTGTGCTCTGGCTTCCAGGTGCCTGGCAAAGGTGGGAGAGAGAAGAAGAGGCAGGAACGGTGAAGGAACACACTCGATTACAAAGGAAAACGCTTCTAAGCCCACCGGCACAACCTGCTACTGAAATGACTGCGAAGAGGTGCTGTGCCCGTCCTGGTCCCACCCAAGTCAGCAGACACAGGATTCCTCAGCCGACCTTTGGAATAAGGACTCAAAGCTGAACCGGTGGCCTCTGCACAGAAGTAATGTGACGAACTCAGGAACCCAAATATGCATTCCTTCTGGGTTTGAGTAACACCGGGATTTAGCATAAAAAGAAATGCGTAAGACAGTATCAGAAAGTCAGATAATAACAAGTGTTGGCAAGGATGTGGAGAAACTGACCCTTCAGACACTGCTGGGGGCAATGTGACATGGTGCAGCCACCTCAGAAAACAGTCAGGCAGTGGTTTTTCAGAAGGTTAAACATGGAATCACCACATGGCCCAGCAATTCCACTTGTAGGTCCATACCCAAAAAACTCAATACGGAAGTCTACTCAGAAACTCACGCATGCATGGTCCTAGCAGCATTGTTCATAATAGCCCCAAATCAGAAACAACCCAAATGTCCATCAACTGATGAATGGATAAACAAAATGTGGTATGCGCACGCGATGGAATATTACTCAGCCATAAAAAGGAATGGTGTGTTGACTCACGCTACAACATGGAGGAATCCTAAAGACATTCTGCTAAGTGAGAAAGAACCCAGATACAAAAGACTACATGTTGCCTGACTGCATTTATATGAAATTTCCAGAATAAGCAAATCTCTAAAAACAGAAAAGAGATGAGTGACTGCTTAGGGCTGGAGGAAGGGGGAGAAACGGGGAGTACTGCTCACAAGGACGAGGTTTCTTCTTTCTTGGGGTGATGACAATGCTGTAATACTGATTGTGGTGATGGCTGCACAGCTCTGAATATACTAAAAACCACCAAGTGGAACACTTTCAAAGGATGACTTACATGGTATGTGAATTATAGCTCAAAAAAAATGGATTGGACATTTTAGATCTATGCCTGGCACATAGTCAGTGCTCAATAACATTAACTACTATGGTCTTAAAAAAAAAAAAAGAATCCAAGAAAAGTATCCATGGAGAGAAGCCCCATCGGTGTCGTACCAGTGTTAACAATACACAGTGGTGGTAGGGTTGAGGAGATCCTACCCCAGGGTCCCCGATCCTGATTCTTGACTCAAACACCCAATAAAGCAAGATGGCAGCCAAATCACCGCGTTTGGAAATACTGATGAATTTATGTCATACTCCAAAATTCTAGTAGAGGGGAAATTCCAACAAATAAAGGTAAACAATTTCTGTCCTTCATTCCACATATCCAAACCTACGTGTCAGAGGCTTAAAGCCGCTTCAAGGCCAAACACTTCCCCACACTGGGGCTGAGTGACAGGCTGGGACAGGTCGGCTCCCCCATTAGCTCGGTGAGCGAGGATCCCCCACCTGTGCTGACAGACGGCCTCGAGCACCACTCCTGCCCTTCTGGCATAACCTGGTCCTCTGCAGCCAGTTTGCCTCATAAAGAAACGAACAAAGACTTCCTTCCACAGGCTCTCAGTTAGGTGCCCACTCACAGACCCAGGTCCCACGCATTCAAAACTCTGGGAAATACCCAAGAATTAGCCATCTAGAAACAAGCAGGCCAGATAGATGTGCTTTTCCTAAACGCCCAAGTCTATATATAAAACACTGTGTCTTTCAAGTGTGTGTTTTCTCAAAACATCTTTCCTCTGCAATCCCTCAAGAGCTCTATGGAAATGAAAAGACAAAGTTGTCCTGTGGCATTTTACACAGAGCACACAGCAGCTGAGGACCACTGGGGACAGTGAGGACATGAGGCTTACCTCCCCAGCGAGCAGGCAGCAGTGTTAAAGGGGACCCCACTGGTGCCCACAAGCCCCCCATTTCCTTTGAAAATCCATCCACAGAGCTCCGAAAGACCAGGACCTCAACACTGGACATCTAGAAAGCCTTTCACTGAAAAGGCACCCGCCTTCCTTCTCTGCTCTCCATCCTGTCCCCCAGAGACCCACCCAATGACCACTGAGCAGCTAGGTTCCTGCAGGGTGGGACCCATGGGCCTGCCCTTGTGAGGTGGAGGCTGTCCAGGGCTGCATGAGCCCCCGAGAAATGTCTCAATTGGTCCCAGAAGGCTCTGAGCTAGGATCAGAAGCACAGAAAGTGGAATAAATTACATGCAGTGTGCCTGGGCATTCCTGAGGGTAGGGGGTGGTTACCGGGGACATCAGCCCCTTGGTGGCCACTGTCCATCTTTAGGTCCTGGCAGAAAGAGCTGACTTACATTGTGAGACACAGTTTGCACTGACTGCACTGCATTCCCTGAGTTCTCCTCGAGCATTTTCAGCCTGTCAAAACGGGTTTTAATGAAGACATTATTTCATGTCCACTTAGTGACACCCATCACCTCTCAATCTCTCCCCCCAAAACTAGCTGGCTACACTTTTCTCACCTCATCATTCACAACTTCGGAAACAGTTATTTTATGTTTGGAAACATCAGGACCAATTCTTTCATTCCCTCCCACCTTCCATTCTCTCTCAGGGAGCCCCCTCCCCGATCTCAGTCACCCTGCCCGCCCTGGGAAGCGTGAGGGCTGAGCCAGCGACCCTACGTCCTGCCAGCTCTAACCTGTCTGACAAGTTAGATCCTCTCTGATGCTAGGGTGACAACACACCGTGCATCCCATCCTCCCTGCTCCCGCCCGCGGTGCGAGCCTTGCTCTGCTCCCTGTCCGTAAGTCCCTGGACCGTGAGCACAGTCGCAATCATGACTAATTCGTAATCTCCAGGCTCCTGACCCCAATGGCACCTTCCTAAAGCCGTTATCTGGGAAGGGAAATGAAAATATATCAACAAAAGAGAGCCTGAGGACCATTCCAGCACTTCTGACTGCACTCTTAGCATAAAGAGACTGTTTTCCTAAACTTTAAAAACCTGGGCTCTCCTGGCACGACGTCAAGCTGACTGAGTCATTACCTGTTTATGTCCACAGGCCTACGTCTCTATGACAGAAGGCTACGAATGAGAACTAGTGAGGGATCAGTAGGCAGTGACACGCCTTTCACTTTTGGAGAAAGTCACTCCAAGTGCAGTGACCAACAAAACACGCCTGGGCCAGGTTCCTGCAGGCCGTCTCGAGACCAACCCCAGGCACCCTCGGGCACACAGGCAGCGTCATCACTGGCCACCACTGGGACCCTTTTTGTCCTTTTCTCTCTCTCTACTTTCCGATCGTTCCCAGGATAGAAGGGGGTGGGAGGAGCCTTGTAGAATTCACCTGATTCTGGAATAGAAATGAAGACTGCCAGCACTGATTAATTTTCTTCCCAAATGGGTGATTTTACCAGAAGGGTCTTAAGTGCTGCAGACCTTTGATCTACTTCCTCTTTCCTCAAAAAACTCTAAACACTTCCATTCTGAGACTAATTAGAAAGAAACTCTCCCCCAAATGTTCCGAGAAGACAGCACATGTGTTTAAGGAATGACAGAAATGTTAAAAATAGATAAATAATAATAAAAATTTTAATGACTAGTGGTTCCCAAAGAATTAAACATAGAATTGCCATATGATCCAGCAATCCCACTTCTGGGTATATGCCCAAAAGAATTGAAAGCAGGGTCTCGAAGAGATATCTGCACACCCATGTTCAGAGCAGCATAATTTGCAACAGCCAGAAGGTAGAAGCAACTCAGGGCCGGTCCATGGATGGATGAATGGGTAAGCAAAATGTGACACATACATGGGATGGAATTTTATTCAGCCTGAAAGAGGAAAGAAATTCTGACACCTGCTAAGACATGGATGGACCTTGAGGACATGATGCTGAGTGAAACAAGCCAGACAAAAAGGACAAATACTGTATGACTCCACTTATAGGAGGTCCTGAGAAGAATGAAAATCATAGCACTAGAAGGTAGATAAAAAGTAGAAGGGTGGATGCCAGAAGCTGGGGAAGGAGAGAATGGGGGGTTGTTATTTAATGGGCACAGAGTTTCAGTTTTGCAAGATGAAAGGAATCCTGGAGATCGATGGTGGTGATGGTTACACAACAACGTGAGTGTACTTAATGCCACTGACCCATACACTTAAAAATGGTTAAGATGGTAAAATTTATGTCATATGTATTTTACCAAAATAAAAAAAAACTTTTAATGACTACTAGTATTCAAATAGCAGTAGTCATTCTGTGACTAGATCAAAAATATCCAGCCAGGACAGCACTTTATAGGTTAACTTGCTTTTCCAAGGATGCCTTTGTAATAGTTCACCTTTGCGTCAGCTCTGCAGTGACACAAAACCATAAATAAAGCCAGAAAACACAGTCGAGCTCAAACACCACAGTCTGAAGTTTAGATAATAAAGTTAAACTTCTTTCATGTGACAAATAACCGAAGCAACTACCTCCCAAGTCTCCCTGACTACTATCAATGTGGGGCAAATAAACAATAAAGACTGCTGACTGTCACTCTTAGTAAGACAAACTGGTACCAAAAATACATCCAGCGGTCCTGAAAACTTTCTCTACAAAGTAATTTAATATGAAAATGCAACATTGCTCAATGTTCACTCATAAAGCCCAATGCTGAATAGAATTTTGTGATAAGGCTACCCGTAGTATATTTTCTAGAAGTGTGGTTGTTTTTTTTTATGACAATCAATTTTGAAACAAATCTGAAAAAAGGAGGAAATGGACCCAGAAATCAAAGTCTACAGCATAAAGGAAATGAATAATCATCACTGCCAATTACTATGTCTCTATCATGATGAACAACACAGGAAAATCTGGATTCCACCACAAGGGAAATTTAAATAGAGTACAACCCTAGCTAAAAAAAGCCTAGGAAATGAAGGTGGCACACAGGCCTGGTCCCCTGGGTGAGGGACCCCTGGGACCAGAAGCTCTTACCTCTTGGTGATCTGGCTCGGCTCCTGCAGCTCTGGGTCCAGGTCAAAGCCCTCGTTATCCAGCAGTCTTCGCAGCGTCACATCAGCCAGCTGCTCCATGATCTTAAACACCTCTTCCAGGTTCAAGAACATGGAGAAGTCCCGCTCCTTGCTGTGTGTGGTGATTCGGATGGTGGCCGTCAGAAAGACGTTGGACGTTTTTTCCAGCTTCTGGATATCAACCCAAGGGACTACAAGTTTAACTAGAAGAGAAAAAGGGCAAATACCTATTTTACCACAAGATTTACCCCCAAGCCTGTAGACGTCAACAACAGTCCGAGGCTTTCCTTGAGCTGAACTACAAATGCCCTTGAACCCAAGCCGGAAAGAACAAGCACAGAACTAACTGCTTGACATCTGTCTGTTAGAAGCCAACTCATGTGCTAATGATTTTCTTGAAGGTTTAAGTAAAACCTCTCAGGTTGCTGGCTATTACACATGTACGAGGGACATCATTCTAAAACACCAGGTTAACATGAACACTTTCTAAAAAATATTTAAAGTTAAATATTTGCTACACATGCAGAAGCTCAATCCACCGCAAAAGCTGGCTTTGAAAGTAGCATTCATGGTGTAAGCTATAAAAAAGGGAGAGTAAAAGGGGATGATTTGTGATCTCGCTCAGAGAAACAGGCTTAATGTTTAGACTGTGTCAAATGACAGTTGTTATAGTCTTAGAAGACAGAGGACAAGCTGTTTTTATGGCACTCTTTTTAAAGTAATGCAGTACAAACAGTTCATTTTATAAACAAGTGTTCTATTCTCAGAAAGGTTTCCAAAACACTGGTAGCTGGGCTGATGTGCTAACGCGGACCAAACAGGAAAGAGATATGCTTAACAACTTGAAGTAAAAAGGCTATTGAATATTAGGCATCATTTAATTTTTTCCAAATTCTATCATCCAAACAAAATTAGGTTTCATGACAATGATGGATAAGTGTTGGAAAATTGCTCATTTTCCTTTTCAAATAAAGAAGGGGATGGTTAAGTGTCTTTCTTTTTACCATTTCCCTCCACTTATTTTGCAAGAATGTCTTCAGCACTTTAATAATTTTAAAAGGCCACATTTCTACATCAGGCTTGAGAATAGGCTTCTTCAGTGACTTCTAGTTGCTTTCGCATAAAGTCTTTTCACTCACACTCACACACACACACACACACACACTCCATCTACACCATCAACTTGCAGTGGTTAAGCCTCTCCTTTGTGAAGGGCCCTGCTCTTAAGGGGCTTGTTCAAATAAGGAGAACAGACATGTAAACAAATATGCAACCACTGACTTGACAGGCCCCGAAATAGAAACACAAACATGGTACCAATTATGAGGGGCCTGGGGAAGGTCCCTGAAGGTGATAAAATCTAAATTAAATCTGAAGGATGAGCAGGAGTTTCCAAAGAGACAGAAGAACGGGAAAGCAAAGGAAAGACCGGGTGTTAATTACGAGAAGGTTTCAGAAAGCAGAAGAACAAGGACGGTGAAGGTTAGGGCAGAACGCATTCCAGGCAGGAGGGCGGGGGCGGCAGAGCTGCGCAAACCCAGCGTATGGACTGGAGCATCCACGCTAAGGCAGCTGGGCGGGAAAGAGAAGGGACAAAATGCGCAGGAAGTTGGTGGGTTTCAAGGAGCCCCTCCCACTGGTTCAACTTAAACTGAAATGCAGGAAGAAAAATATATATTTGTGTGTGTATATTGTGTATCTGTGTGTACATATATGTGTATATATACAGGTATAT